TTTCTTTATAAAAACTTCAATTGAATTTCAATAAAGTTAAAGGCATGGCCTCACCATTAATATTTAAAAAAAAAAAACCAAAAAAGTATTATGTATTTGATAATATTCTATTATAGGATAATAGTTGAGAATAACCTTTCAGGTGGTTTTGTTACTGCCTAATATAGTAGGTTACTTCTGAGTACTTAAAGAAGCACCAAAAGAGTTGGGTCTTCAAAAATAAGTGTGTAATATTTATATCAGTATTTATATTTTTTTAATAAAAATATACCAGCATAACTACCTAAATAAAAAAAAATTTAAATGTTAGTTATATAAAAAAAGATTTAACTATTAAAAAATTTGTAATAACTCTTATTGTAAGAATGCATTCTATAGAGTGTTATCTATATAAGCAAAAACTAAATAATATAAGTTGGTTTTATTATATGTTTTATATTTAAGATTAGTAGATCTGAAAATTTATATAATATAATTTTTAAAAATATTATAAATATAGATAATAAGTGAATTATAATAAATCTTCTATATAAGTAAAATAATAGTTTTATTCTAATTAATATTATTAAGTACCAGATATAATAAAATGAAATCAAGATTTGTAATAACTTGGTTTTACTAATTAGTAAGTAAATTAATAATGACATTAGTAATAGAATAAGATAAAGCAAGATGTTAAAAAAACTTTTAAAAAAGAGTTAAATTGACAGAATTATATACTTTGCTCATATATTGAAATATAAGTTAGATTGATTTCTAATTACATAATATATATTCAATAAGGTTGTTAAGTATATGAATAGGTATAGATATGCTATTGTTAGATAGAGCTACATAACTATATAATAAGAAAATAGAATGTTATAAAAACACAGTTTACTATTATTATTACAATACAATATTTTTTTAACAATTTATAATTAGAAATATATTCACAACAATACAAAGTTTTATTCTAATTGTATTAATTAATACTATATAAGAATATATTATTAACAACTAATTAGCAATTGATATTATAATAAAATTTTTAATCTAGTTATTTCAAAATAAATATAACTAAATCTGAAAATAATACTGCATTAAACTATCAAAATAAAAACAACAAAGCAATTTTTCTAATTAACTAACTTATGATTAATTAAAAATCTTTAATAATACATTCAAACTAATACTATAAATTAAAACATTAGTACTTATAGTTGCACTTGTAGTCTTCTTGACTAACAACATATAAAAATTTTTTACAATGTTTATATTTGTTTACTACAAGACAAGTCAATAAAAAAACTACCAAAATAGGTTATCTAAATAGATAAATTATAACATTTTTACCAATTGCATTTATATTATCAAATTTAAGCGAGTTTTAATCATTCTAATAGTTTTAAATTGCAAATAAATTAAATAAAATTAGATAATAATATTGTTTATAGTTTGAGTCTTATTTATATAAAAAATTTGTAAATTAGTTCTATTTTGTATAAACTTATAACAAATTAATTAATAAAGATAAAGCCAAAACCTTACTTTAATACTAAAAAAAATATTCAATACTTTTAATGCACCTGTATTAATCCAGTTATATCTATTAAAATCTGTTGATTTCTAGACTTGTTTTAATTACATATTTATTTTACATGAATGCAAGCATATTTATTTATAAATCTAATTACAGCAAATGCTTACTATAACAAGCTTATTTGAACATAACAAACTATAAAATGTTACATTTATATTGTTAAGTTTGGAATGTGTAGATTTTGTATATTAATAATTCAATGTTATTTATACAATTTAATAAAATTATTATTTAGTAATCAAGTTTCTCTTTAGAATTTATTTAACTATTTATTCTGATCTATAGTAATGGTTTGTCTCTTAAAAAACAATTAAGCATTCCCTTCAGAAAAAAAATTAATCAAAAAAAATAATAAATTAATAAGAAAAATAAAAAAAGAGTTGAATTCAAATTTTTCCAGAAAATTGTAAAGTTTGAATATCATGGGACTGTATTCTCTATCGTGATAACGTACAAATTTGTAAAAATCTTAAGCGAACTATATCACTACACATGCCCAATAGTGAACAACCGATATATTTACTAAATGCAATACCGGTCTTCCGTTCCTTGTTTTGCGTAACAACGTTGTGCAGCTATCTTATGTATATAAGTAATTTGATTGGTCAATCAAAGTTGATATACGCAAGGTTAACCGAAAATAATGTACAGTACATGAAAAATTGCTGCAAATAAAAACTAAATGAATGATTTCAATAATTTGTTGAACAAAAGAACATATTCAATGGAGTTGTCAAAAAGTTTATAGTTATCTTAAGTTTATAATAATAAGTATTACATGGATAACCAGATTAATTTTATCATTGTTTTATAAATATTATGGTATTATAATTTTTGAAAAATAATTTTGTTTTAATCTGGATTGTTTCTAATCATAAAATAAATCTTAATTTATAATAAACCTTAATTTTTAAACTAATGAATTGCAGAAAGTTTAGTCAAATTTAATTTAGCAAGTCCAATGGTATGGTTATAGTCATTATAAACACTATAGACATTTTTTAAAAAGGTGGTACCAAGGATCCATTCTTTATCTGATTCTGAAATAGATTAAAAGAGTATATTCATTAAATTATTATTAAACGTTTTTGATTAAAATATTTTAAAAATACTAGTAAATAATAAATACCAGTAATACCACCCCTAATCATTCCACTGCATATTTCTATGTCATTGAATTGCCGAACATCTATCAAATCTCTATGATCAATAGCCCAATTGGTATTATTGATTTTTATTTCAATATTAATTATGCTATCACAAGGTATAATAAATTTTCCATCACGATCTCTAACATTAGGTAAGTGTTGGTAAATTAGTTTGGCATCGTCAAATGGTATAACTATAGAAGAATACGCAGAGGAAATTTTTCCAGTACGATTTTGAAATCCTAACGATTGGCCGTTGATAATCAAGTCGTCTATAGGAAGTATCCAATAATCATTATTGATTGTTGTTGTATAAACAATTTCACCAATGAATTTATTTTGATCAACAGCACCAATTGTTAATTCACTATCAGTTCCATCTGCTTCTCTTCCAATTTTTAAAGTAAATAGTGGAGAAAGATAATCAAAATAAATATTATTATAAAAATTTGATTCATCTGGATTGAATTTATTAGTTATTGCCAACCCAAGTATACCATCAAATTCAGTAAATTTAAAAATATTCGGAAATATTGAAACTAAACCAAATTCCTGATATGGTGATAAATCAAGATGTCGTGAACCTGGAGCATATCCCCCAATATTCATAATGGTGTGACCCCTTATTCCCTCTACAAGTCCATTACCATAAACATAACCAAAAGTTTTATTCTTTGTTCCGAAAGATACATCATTATGTGGATTATATTTGTTTTTAAAATCACATGCAGAAGTACAATTGATAGATGGAATTAAAAGATCACCTAAAGCTGTATCAACCATTACATTGAATTTTTGTCCACCAAGAGTAATTTCACAGAAATATTGATCATCGCGATGAAAGTCATCCGTTAAAGGTTCATTAACAGTAGGTGGGTTATCTCTAGCAAACAATTTATTTGCATTCGACTTCTTTAATGGAATTGTAATTGGTTTAAGTGATTTGAAAGGTAATGTGTTACCAAGTGGTAATGATAAAATTGACAATAAGATGAATATAAGCCAAATGTGCATGATGAATTGATGATATATAGAATAATAAATCTCTAAGGTCTATAAACATATATTGGATAATTGTTTATATCCAAAGTGAAATATTTTTCGAATTGTTTACATTTATATAGTAAAATAAAAAGTAACTATAATTAACCGGTTGTTGCTCACTTTCCCGAAGCCCATTTTTCTGACATACTATTTCACCGAAGTCGTAATACCGACAATCCATTTTACTAACAGGACAGAAATAGGTAGGTCAGTGTCATTTCACCAAATATCAATTAACTACAAGTTTATTTCACTGAAAGTTTATTTAACCAACTGTCATTTTACCGACAAAGTAATTCTGGTCATCATCGTTAGGGTCAGGTTCAGAATTAAAGTTAAGGTTAGTGCAATTTTTAAAAAAACTTGTCGGTGAAATGACTTGTTGGTGAAATGACCTATCAGTGAAATAATTGTCGATGATTTCGGGAAGTTAAACCGGAATCTAATTAACCTCACCAATCACTGTTTTATCTTAACTTAAACAATATATAAATAAAAAGAAGCACTTTAGAAATTTATTTGACCGATCCGACTAAGCTCAAAAAGTCAAGTCAGTCGATCAGAAGTCAATACCAGTTTATGCAGAATAATTAAATAAACGGATCCCAGCCTAGTCTTAAAATGTTCAATGCCTGAAATCAATATTAAATATTTTTTAACTAGCCTTATTAATATTGTACCATTTTGGAAATAAGTAATATATGTGTGTTACAGATTAAAGGTATTATTCATGCAGTTCTTAGGACTCTTTTCATTAATAGTTATGAGACAGACTTAAAATATTCATCAGGGTCGATCCAAAATGAATGACACTAGTGAACCCCTTAACAATTCTAGTCATATCCATTTCCGATTCATATTGTTTTTGAGTCATTAAGTTAATATGTAAAGCATATGCATGTAGAGTATATAGACCTTTGCAGTAAAAAAGGCCCAAACTAATAATCAAAATTTTGTGTTTATTATATCAAATAATTTCATGATGTACTCTCTTCTCATTTTATTTTTCTCTTATTTCCGAGATAGTTTGACATATGTAACATTTCATTCAATCAGGAATCTTTTGATTTGTCAGGATTGTAATAAACCAAATTTTTATAATTTGCCGATCATCCGATTATGTAAAAGCTTGCTATGCTTTTTTATATATGAGGATTAGAGGCCTGCTATTATCATAATTCCTGGAATACCTAATAAAATTAACCGAATGAATTTTCGGCCGATTCGGTTAAGCTTGTGATTTCGACATAATAGATTCAATGAGGACTTTCAGAATTATAACAACTAATAAAAATTGATCGGCTGAACTCGATTAAGTTTTTGAATTTACAGCTGTTTTCATAAATTCAGGAAGATCTGGCAAAAATTGACCGACCGAATATTTGCCACATGAGTTCAAAAACTTATCAAATTCGGCCGATCAAATTTTTATCAGTTGTCTCAGAATTTATGTAACTAGGAATTGACAAGCCGGGCAAGTGCCCATGCCTAATAAAAAGGCACAGACACAAAATATTACAAAAAGTTGGCATAGGTACATAAAATTTGGCATAAGCATGGCACGGATACAAAACTTTGGCATAAACTTTGGTAAGTATGGACGTAAAATGCCAGGGACTAGTTGACACTTTAGCGCCTTGCATACTTGTGCCAAGTATTAATTGTGTCTTTTATTTCGCGTCTATGCTAATAATGTGACTGCCTATAGGCATGGGCATGGTGTAGATATTTGGTGCTTGGCATGATGCCTAATATGCCTGGCATGGGCATTTGCAGAACCCTAGCTGTAACGTGTGGGAATCTGATTTGACAGAAATAACGTATTTATTTTCAAATGAGCGATGCATTAACTTTATTTTATTTCAATAGAATTTTCGACTTCATGTGTTGACTTATATATTGCTAGAGGCTAATTGGTTGGGAGTGTACACAACAGCGAATAGAGGGAATGTGATGAATTGTCACCACGAGTCCATTGCTGTCGCGTAACGTCACTCATTAGCTTGGGCGAGGCGGTTACGATTTGGCACAGGTTAGGGCGGCTTTTGAGCACGTTACCAGATAGGGACAGTGTCTTTAAAGAACATTTATGAATTAGTGGGTAAAGAGGTTTTTATTAACAAATTTATTATTTAGGGCACACTTGACTCTACCACTAAATACATGAACTATCGAACTATATGAACTATCGACTCTATGAACTCCCTTTTTGCAAGAGAAAATCCAACCCGTATTTATAAGAGAACTACAGGGGGGGGGGAGAATGGAATTCGAATGCTTCTAATAGGGCTTTGACGTCTTTTTCCCTTTTTCCTATAACCCAGGCTTCGTTTCAATAGCAATTTTACATAAGGTTTCATTTTTTCAACGACGACAACCCACCATCATGCGACGACGCACCTACACGGCCACATACTTCTCCCGTCAAGGTAATATTACTTTGACAGACGTCAAGCTATATCAGGTAAGTGCTGCTTGGTTATGGGATCTATGGCGTTCGATGGGGCTTGGCTGGTGCATACAGCTGCAAGGGGGATCGTCGTGTTGACGGTTTTTCGTAGGGCGTTTCAGGGGTTAATTTTCCAAGGTCCCAGAGTCGGGTTTGCCTATAACAATATGAAATACATATGGGTAGGTAGTTCTGAACCCGGACCGATTTTATATATATCGTAATAACATTTTGGTCTGGATCCAAAAACAATTACCCATATTGGAAAAATGTAATAATGCTAAACTTTAAAATAGGTTGCTATTATGGACGGTCGATGTAATGATTATATAATCGATAACTAAAATTTAACCCTTACATCTAAGAGTTATCAATTACACATATCGATTACATACATTTATATGTTGCATCTAAAGTAGTGTGATACCGGAATATCGTGATCGATCACGTGAAAAATACACGAAATGCATTTGTGATCGAGAATGGTATTTCGGATGCAGAGGGGTAGAGGGAAGAGGATGAAAGGATAAATTTCACATCCTTACAGAAATAAAACATTACTGGAAAAATTAAATAATTAATTGTAAATAACATTAGGTAGACTTAAAGTAATAATAAGTGCAAAGTCGCATTTGTAAGCGGCGAATTTAGTATTATAAATAAAGGCCGAAATGGCCCTTAAGAGCGACAGTGCTCTTCTTGCTTTATTAAATAATAAGTCACAAATACCTTATATCGCCCATAATAAACACTAACACTAATACCGATATAAACCCCTATAACATCGTTGTTCGTTCAAGTTCTTGATCACGTGACTTACCCGACTTGCCTTCGTGGACCCAAAGTAACCGAAAGCCTTAATCACCCACCAGCCAAATCTAACACCCTCTTTCGAAAAGGCTACATATCGTACGTTACGCGAGATATTGGATTGTGGAACGACTGAGTCGCAGTCATCCGAACCCAACAGTAACGATTTATCTAAAGTAGCGCCTGGCTAAAATTAAGCCCCTGAAATTAGAACTTCATGCATGCCAGGGTGCTACTTTAGATATATAAAGTGGCTACTTTAGATAATGTAATAACATATTTATATACAATGTCAAATTGAACTTTACTAAATTTACAAATTTAACATTTGCTTTGCAAGCTTTTTATCAAATCAAAATTGATAAAAAGCTTAAAGCTAGATGCATGTTTTTAATTATGATAAGCCTATGTTTGCTCTGCCGTAGTAATGGGGTCTCATATTAGAAAATGTACGAGTATTCCTCTAAAAGTTCGAACCTATCATATTAAAACAATATTAAATTTGAAAGTTTCCTATTTGCTACGTATAATGATGATAATATTTGTATCGCTTTTTTCTTCTTTCGCATGTGTTTAATTCTATGTCGGGCTGATCCGATTGGCTTTTTTATTTTTAAGAGTTGATATTTCTCGGTAAAATAAGCGTAAGTGCGCCTGACCCTAATGGAGGTTATATATTGATCTACATGCTGCATAAATTAGCATTTCGGGAAGGTGGACTTTAGGAAAGTGATCAACAACATATAATAACTCAAAAAGCAGCATTCCGATTGGCTAAGTGCGAATAATATCTAAACATATTAAATAAATTTATTGAATTAATAATTTAGTATTTAATTAGAATTAACCCTTAAAGTCTATTTTGAGTTAAGTTGACTATTGACCAGAATTATTTTATATTGGCTAAATCAAACAATTAACATACTTAAATAGTTAAATGGTTACATAACTGCTGTATAGTAAGTTACTCAAATAACCTTAGTAAGATGTTTTTTGAAATTATTTTCGAACAGAGTCTGATTTATTAAAATGTTGAAAAGTTAAAAGTATTACCTAAAGTCAAAGGTGAATAAATTCATTAAATATTAATATATTTCACTAGTAATTTATTTTGATTTACTTCATATATATTAGAATTTTACATGATTTTTAGACATATTAAACATAAAATATATATTTTAATATAATAGAAGTTAACATGCAAATTAAATAACAAAATAATATGAATTAATTTAACAGATCCAAGTAACTTATTAATATACATTTTTGGTAAATATTAATTAGTTTTTAAAAAATAAATTTATTAAAGTTAGAATTATACTATATATGTTAAAAATATTTTTAATTAACAGAATTTAATAGATAATATAAATTTAAAGATTTGTTTAGTTATATATATCTACTAATGAGTTAACTCTTTACAATATAAATTAATTTAAATATTGTATTATAAAATAATTTGTAAAATGCTTTTTTAAATCCAAATATTTAATAATTGCCTTTAGATGTTAGAACCAGTTTTAAGGCTAAGCTTATTGAAAATGTTGTAGATTGAGATTTACTAATTTTCTCTATACTCTTTATCTATTGAACTGCTCAAAATTTTACTACTTAATTGTTATCTTTTCTACTAGTATATAGTTAAAAGGTAGCTGTGCAGCATGCGGTGCCACACAGGACCAGTACAATCGATATTAGTAAGTTCATGCATATACATGTAAGTACTCAGGTATATACAGGATTGAGTTATAGTGACTAGAAGTAAACTGGATTTTTTAAATACACTGCACTGTTATCTCAGCCATGGAGCCTGCAACTCATTTAGCGAAGGTTTATGCACTACTACTTAAAACAAGATTTTTGCATTGCTACTGCCTAACTACCAATGTTCTCGTACTGCTACTGCAGCTTAATTGCAACAAAACCAGTTGTTACACTATTATCACTGCTGTAAAACCTAATTACTAAAGTCCTTGCACTGCTACTGCAGCCTCAGAGTCTAATTACTACAAAAACAAAATCTTTGTACTAGGAGCTTCATACTTACAAAAATAAAAGACTAAAACAAAGTCAGGTCCTTATACTACTTGACATTACATCTTGTCACATAGTCAACCGTCAAGTATTTAAACTTCTTGTAGGTCACCACACCATGGACAGGATGGGAGTAGCTTTCCTGCAATGCAAGCGATAGCAAAAAGTAAAATAAGCTTTTTTTTTACTAAAAACATCACTCTTAAATACACTGCATTACATCTTTCTCCCTCCATCTCACTGATCTGATTCATGCTTGAAGCTATATGAAAATACTCTTTACTTTAACATTGATTTGTTGACATCCATATCTATTCGCCACTTAACAATCATAAGCTTAACCAAAAAAAACCTGGTCTAACGAGAACAACACAGCAAACCATTACAGTTCAATCTAAGCATGTGATCCATAAAATCTTATGATCTTGCAATTCGATGACAAGCTACACATTATAAAGAAATTAAATTTTTTTTGTCAAAAACATTTCATCAATGATAATGATAGTAATTGTTATTAAACATTGATTATCCGCTAAGAAAGATCATTTAATATTGTGTATCAGAATAAGGATGAGTTCGGTTACGGTTATTAACCATAACTGATACTAGCCGATCAGAGCAGCTTGATTTACCGACATAACTGATGACGATCAGCATTTAAATGTAATTTTCACACATTCATATTTTCCCACACCAACATGATGACATGTAAATACCCTATGTCAGTATTATCTTAACTCCTACTAGATTTGAATAAACGAAAACCATTACTCATTCTAAAAAAGAATTTTTTCTAATATAGGAAAAAATATAGGCTTCAAAAAAGTTGAACAGAACCATCCCACTACACATTCATGTTACACATTCATGTGATCGTACTGGTATAAAGCAAAGTTGTCTATCTATTTTTGTTAAGAAGAAGAGACTCTGAAAGAAATTATCTTACAAAGAATCTTTTATCTTATAAATATTGTATATATTCTTTATAAAAAAACTATTTAGTAAGTTAGTTAACAACAATTAAGCATAAGGATTATTATAATAAGTATTATTAAATAAGTTTTAAATTCAAGATTAAAAATAAAGTCTTAATTGAAGATGTAGCAAAAAGATATTTTTATAATAAAAAATTTACCTCTAAATATAAAGAATCATTCTTTATCTACAATAAGTTAGTAAATAATATACATAAACTGATGATAATAGATAAAAAATAATAATAATACACTTCAATCTGCAGTAGCTAAAGAGATATCATAAAAGAACATATAGTCAGTAAATAAAAAAAAATTATTTATAGCTTGTATTATTTTAATGATCAGTTATAACAGTTATATATGAAGTTATATATCTAAGATGTATAACAAAAGTTTTGTTGTTCTTTATTTTGAATATAAATATGTTAAATAGTTAAATAATCATTATATTTTCTTTTTTTTTATAACTTTTAACTTTGTCTTGAGTTTTCTTAATATTATTAATTTGTAAATACATATAACAGTTATATGTGTGAATTGAAATATATAGCAAGAGTTATATCCTTTATTTTAAATATGAACATTCTTTTTTTTCTATTATCTTGAGTTTTTAAAATTCAATATTGAATCATGTAACAAAATTAATTGTTTTTTTTTAAAAAAAATTGTTGAATTAAAAATCAATTTTATTAGTATATTTTAACTTGTAAATAAAAAAAATAAATAAAATTTTTTTTTAAGACTATAAATTGAACTTCTAAATCATTAACTAAACTATAAAAAATGCTTTATGGACCCTTCTATAAACCTTTTTTACAAACATGAAAAATTGTGAAAAGAAATATCAGAGATAAAACAATTATATAAAAAAACCTGTAAAGTGATTATTATAGTAACTTACTTACCTAATTGGTAGTACTTATAATAATCCACTTAAAACATGTATGTTCAGTTCCAAGAAAACCATATGATAGTATACAAACATCTATATAGAACTCCACTACCTCTTCAATTAAAGAAGGTTGATCTGGATCAACCTGTTTGCACTAATACAATTAGAAATAGATGTTGTTATTACTTTATCCTACTTGGATTAAATATAAGATGTGTCAAGAAGGTGTGATTATTGTAATTATGTTGAGTTCTGATTCTGATATGAACAGTACTAAAACATTTCTTATCAGTTCTATGATGACTGTAAAAAATATTAAAGTAATGAAAACTGTTTCTACGAAAAAAGTAAAGGTTAAAACAAAAAAGATTATAATTCAATGGAAGAAAAGAGAGAAGAGTTGTAGTCTTGTATATGTTCTTCTTGCTAACAAATTGTTATAAATAAATGAGAATTTTCCTCTCTTGAAGAGATAGTTCAAAGCAATACAATAATATAATTCTATAGTTCTATAGTACAATAATGCCCCTACAAAATAATAAAAATTAATAAAACCCTTTTAAACCTATAAAATACAATAACTCTCTTTAAAATCTTTATACTTATCTTAACGATTGCCTTGACCTTGTGTTGCATTTAGGCATTTTGAAACAGCATGCTGAAAAAAACATAAAAAATGGCATAATGCCATAATGCTGTGAATAATTCTGAATTTAAGCCCATGTATAGAGGGCAAAATTTATAAAAGCAAGTAACAAATATAACAAAGCTTATCTTTGGTAGTGTTCAGTCATTCTGCACCTCCAGTAGGTAGTGCCACAAATTTTATCTACTACGACAACAATAATTTTTGGGAATGCTGCTGAGAATTTAAATTATTTTAATACAAAATTTTAAAAAATTTTTATAATATTTTTGGGGCGTTTTTTTTTAGAGTTAGATTGGAATTTAGGGTTAGAGTTTATAGTAAAAAAGTATATGTGGATTTTAGTAGGATTTATATTTTTAAATTGAGACACAAAATTCTTAGCATCATACTTAATACAAAAATATGAATAATCATATAAATAGGATGATAAAAAATGGCTAAGCTGTTTTTTAAACCTTTTTTTTAAAAGTCGGTGTCTGATGCTAAAATTTTGATGAATCTGAAAATATTGCTTCCGAATGGTTATTTTAATTGTTAGCCGAAAGACAGTGCTAGAATTCATTAGGTATTCACAAAAATAATAAGAATTATAATTATAAAAATATATTTAATCGCTTTAAGTCTTATCAAAGCATTTTTGAATGTATAATAATGTGTCTATTAGCTAAATACAACCTATCATTCGCGCGCACTCGTTATTTTACGTTCTCGCAATAATCACATTTTTGTCGATGTATTTTCGACCACGTTTATCAAGGTCAACAACTTTTATAAAGTTCAACCGGATTTTTTTTAAAGCGGGTCTTCTATGGATATAAGACATGAAATTCGAGATACCAAAAAATACAAAATTTTGGTGCATATTTTAGCTTTTTTTAGGATTAGGAGTCAGCTTTAGTGTTAGAATTTGTAATAAACAAGTATATATAGGTTAATTAGAAACCTCCAATTTCATTTTAATCCGATTTCATTATGATTTGAGACAATAAATTATACTATATACATTTAATTAAATTACGCGATCGGATCATAATTACATTATAATGTATTAAATCATTCTTTAACAGATATAAATCAAACAATTATGATTTGATGCTGCCAAACAACCTGTAAGTGCGAATTTAATTTTAACTATAACATATCACTGATTATTAAATTTTTGAATTTAAGTTCTGCATAGTGAAATTTTAATTTACAGTTACAGGATTTCCCTTGACAGCACTCATCGTTAAGATCATGTGGAGCCTTTTGCCTTGAAAATCACCCACCGACATTTTCGATCAGGATATTCGGACAAAAGCAAATCCCAATACAGGTTTATGTTTGTAAATTATCTTTTATTCAATAGCGATAGTTCAACAAATGCAAAACCCCAAAACGCTTATCAGACGCATGATTCAATATTATGTGTTAAATAGAATTTATACATAATTTATCAGAGGCCTGATCAGCCCGTTTCTGTAAAGTGAAATTTCTGAAAAAACGTTTTAGCTTTGTGACACAGATCATAACAGAGTATGCTATAAAGTAATACGTAGTAACTCGAGTCATACTTGAATCAGACTAGTATAAAGCAAAGTTTGAAACGTCATCCTTAAGGGAGAGTTTTCGGATTAAGGCTTCTATTTTATCATCATCTATACGTAAAATAGTAATTTATGTAAAATTATTTATAAAACCTTTAAAAAGTTCCATAAATTCCAAAGAAATATTTAACATTCGTTTATAATTTATTCAAACCTATGAATATGCATTCATTACGATGAAACAGTTAAATATCCAAATCAAAAACTTAATTCTAATTATTATTTTAGCAGCGTTTACATATGTTATTCTTTGGTGCTTATACTCGCAACGATCAATTTTGGATTTTTTCAATAAGTTTTCTTTTTATAGAAATTTAGACACGACTCTTGGCTTTGATCATATTTATGTTACAAACGTTCCAAGTCAGTCAGGAAAATATGAAAAATTAAAATTAATGGAAAGTAAATTTAATTTGGAACTCGAATTCCTTCCAGTCATTTCCTAATTTGACAATGGATCACAAAAAGCTTATATTAGTCATAATCAATTTTAAATCATAATTATGGAGCGCATTAATTTTAGAAGATGGTGTAGATATTGAATTTAACATCAAATCGATTATGACCAGCATCATAGCATATTACCAACTGATTGGGAATTTCTATACCTTGGTCATTGCAACAGCAACTGGGAATGGAATCAGGTGAGCCTTTACAAGATTATAGTCATGAACAATCTATTTATAAACTTTTTAAATCCAAGAAGCCATATTGTACGCCTGCTTACGTCGTTTCATATCGTGGTGCCCTTAAATTATTTAAAAAAAGGTTTTCTGACTTAATAGCACCAACTGACCTTGAATTAACTAATATGATTACGGAAAACAAAATCACCTCATATACTATTATACCACCAGTTATATCAAGATGCTATATTTTTAATGACTCAACAGACCTCTATCCAGGGAAAAATATATTAGATGTATTCTCTTTAAAGAATTTACTTATTTTCTCTTGGACTTAATTATGAATCAAATAATACACTCGGCTTTAGTCATATTTACGTTCTTAATCTTATAAGTCGACAGGATAGACGCGAAAAATTGGAAATTTTGGCGAAAAAAACTTAATTTAAAATTCGAATTTTTTTCCGGCAATTTCTATAAACGATGAAAAAGCACTCAAAGAACTTGAACTAAAAACCGCTTCTTTAAATTCAGCTCAGGTTGCTTGTTATAATAACCATTATAAAATCTACCAATCAATAATTCAATATGGATACGATAGTGCTTTGATATTAGAGGATGACGTAGATTCGAACTTAATATTGCGTCAATTATATCTGATAAATATCGAGCTTTGCCTTCTAATTAGGATATCTTTTTTCTTGGCTATTGTAGCGATGCTGAAGCAAGAGGTGATTTATTGGATGATCAAAATAATTCATCGCTTCATGAAGTCCATAAATCAGTTATATCGTTCTGTACTCACGATTACGCTGTTTCGCGTGCTGGAATACACAACATCTTAATCCGATAACTGACCAGTTGATTCAACAATTGTTCATTAAGCATGGACAGGAACTATTAACTCTTTTTCTCTTGTATTGTTGGCAATGGTACAATGGCGTTCATTAATTAATCCACCAAGCATTGCACCTGAATTTAGATATCATTATTTCATTCCCTTAAAACATTCAGCTTTAGAGCATTTTGGGCTTATTAAGAAACTAATAATACTCTTGGATTCAATAAGATTTACTTCATTAAATATCAGAATGAACCGGATTATCAAAATATTGTTGAAACATTAACAAAAATGTCAGATAAATTATGGTTAGTTTTTACTAATTTCATGTTATTCCTCAAGTTATATCAGTTTTAATCAAAGTAACAAGTTGCAAATATCACGACAGATTTCTTATTTAAGTCATTATAAAGCTACGAATCAATTATCAATTATGGATATGGTAGTGTTTTGATTTTAGAAGATGATATAGACATTGAAATTAGAATAACGTCAATTATGGTCGATATACATCGAATTTTACCCGCTGATTGGGACATTGTATTGACACGCGAGTCAGTCGCTTGACAAATGGGTATGTCGTGTTAGGGATGGGAATCGATTTTGAAATCAAAATTGATTTTATAATCGGATAACTTAACCGATTATGGCGCTTTGCAATAAAGTGTGACACTGTGATTTTTGTGATGATGGTAGTTGGAAATTTTGGAGATTTAGATTTTATATTAATTATATATTTCAATAAACAATTGTATATATTGTTTAAAATCTTTAAAATTGTCGGAGAATCGAAAAATCTGCTAAAATCGCTGATTTTTTGCAATTTCGCATGACATCGTGATCTGTAGATGTCACGCTTTATTGCAAAGCGCCATAATCGATTAATCGGATAAAAAAATTAATTAATCGATATAAAACTTTTTATAATTGATTTATTTAAGTTAATTAGGCATCTTTGATTAAAAATATATTATGTTATAAATATTATTATATCTATTATATAGATCAATTTAATACTAATATTGAATATAATTTATTAAATATAATATTTATTTATAAAAATTATAATTAATATAATACAATATGTATAATAAATTAAATATAAATAATAATATAATATATAATTTAATATATAAAAATAATATAATATATAAAATAATAATTTAATTTTAAGAATTTGGGTTTGTATTTTTTTTAGATTTTTAATTTTAAATTTTTTTTTCTAATTCTTAAATGTTTATTTTTAAAATTTTTATAAATTAAATTTAATAAATATATTACAATAAATAATATCCGAATTGTATTAATTATTAAATAAAAATTGATTTTATTTTTAAAATCGATTACCGTTACTTTACCAAATCGATTTTATTGCGCTTTGCAAAAAAGTGTAACCCCACAATTTTCGTGACAACGATAATGGGAAATTTCGGAGATTCTAAATAGTCTATCAATCATATATTCAATCAGTAATATTTATTTTCTATCTATTTTGAAATTTGTAAAATTCTCTTAGAATCGAAAAATCGCCCAATTTCCTGTGATTTTACATGTTATCATGATCTGCGAGGGCCAAACTTTTTTGCAAAGCGCAATAATATTTTCACACCCTTGCTAACTCTAAGCCTAGCCAAATCCCTAATAATTATATTGATTTTGTAAAATTTATAATTGTACACGGAGTGTATGGTACACGGGTATTAATCAATTCTGTAATTTCAAATTCGTGTAACATATCAATCAAACCAATTTTTTACGAACAAAAATTATAACATTGCTTATAGTTCGGGTAAGGGTAGGCTAGGGATTGCGGTGAGGTATAGTTTAAACCAAAATTTCGCAAGAAATTTTTTTGATAGAAGTCAAAAGCTGGTCCCATAATCTGAATTTTGAGATATCGACTGGTTTTAATACCGCCCGGGTATATACACCCCACGTACAAATAGTAATTGTCTTGATTTTATTAACCAAAAGGGGTATGTAAATATCAAACTTCTTATATATACTATATAAAGTTTTGATTCAAATAGTATATCGATCACCCCAATCATAACATGTAGGATTATATTACCGTTCGTATATGCTCGCATATAATGTACAATTAGTAAATTGACTCGACTATATCATGATCGATTACTGATCTAGAGGTTGTACCCGATAAGGATTTTGAGCTCCGGGTTACTCACCCATTTACAACTTTATTACCGGGTCACTAACCGGGCGATCTTAAATAGACCAGGTAACCCGGTTCACTCGACTTATTTCAAATTTCTCGCGCATAAATTGCTCAATCTTACATCCACCTTTTCGGAATTGTTCGGAACTTTGCCGTAATTTGCGTTGATTGACTTTCCGGGTCGCTCATTAACGGGTGTCACCCGGGTCACCACCTCTAGTTGAATCAATAATCGAACATGAATTTGTAGACTCGATCAAAGGTAGATCAATCATGTTTGACGGTCAGTTGGTTGAATTTGATCGACCAAGAAATTTTTTATAAAATACATTATTATTTTACTTTAAATTTTTTTTATTTGGATTCAATAGATCTACAGAATTCAAATAAAAAAAATTCGTCGGATTTGATCAAATGATTGTCGAGAAATCGCATAAAATCACGTACAATCGACAATCGAGCATGCGGCGATCTACAAATTTGATCAAAGTTGCAGAAAAGCTAGAATACGGATTTTAGAACTTATAATTAAATATACTCAGCCTTGAAATTCAAAGCTTAAATGTTTTCTTTTAGAATCGCTTATCTATGTATTAATATTATTCATGTAAATAAACATAAAACTTTTAATTTTAAATTTTAAATAAATTTATTATTAAATTGTTTTTTCTTTAACATTTCATATATATGTAAGTAGTTCATTAACATTATTATTATTAACAATCATTTTCTGATGCTCTTTAGCTAGTTTTAAATCTCAGTTAGTTAACTATAATAGTAAAATTTGATTGTCGATAACAAACATTAAAATATTTTTAACGTAATTATATATGTGTTGTGTGTAAACATAGGGTTAGAGCTATAGTTGGTGGTAGAATTATTGAATTATGGTATTACGGCATCTTACCAGGTGGTAGAATTAATTACGGCACAGTACCTGAATGGCACAAATATTATATGTCGTAATGCCATGTTGCCGTATTGCCATTTTGCCGTAATGCCATAATGCCGTAATGGCATAGTATCTTGGCACGTCCATAATCTGTGACAGGTTAGGCCACTAATTTCAATCCCCGTCCGATTATATTCTCAGAGTAAGACTTGACTGTCATAAACTATTAAAAAAAATGAAATATAAATTCAAAAATTGTCTTTGGATATTAACAAATATTATAGTTACTTTTTAAGCAAAGCAAACAATATGTCGTTTCTTTAATCATGCTATTGTTCAACACATTCTTACTTAAGAGATAGTTTTTTTATTTAATTCTATCTCTTTCGAATGAAGATAACTCAAAGAGCTGAATTCTTCTTTCTTTCATCTTATTTATTCGTGAACTCATATTTTCACAGCACTGTTGATTGAACAGTTGCAACTAAAAACATAAAGAAAAATATTCAGAAGATTTTATTTTTGGTTCATTACACTGATCTTTGAATTTATTTAACACGGTTCGTAATTAGAGATGGGTTTCATGCACATTTTATCCCATCAAGATTTTTCTCCTCTCGATCTTTTTTTCTTTTTTTTTATCATGCGATATCATGCGCATGAAACATTTTGTGCACATTAATGTACATTTTTCCCATCACTATTCGTAATGTTAACCTAAATTTTGACAGTTTGAATTAATAACTAGTACATTATTTAATTTGTCAGTTTTTGAGATATGTTAGTACCGCTGGTATGGTTTGTAAAACCATTTTTATTAAATACAATTAAAAATTAAAATCCAATTGAAAAGCATATTTAAATGCTTCTCTTATATTAATTTTATGTATTTTAAATTAATGCAAATAAAATGAAATTAATAATAAATTTGTCAGAGTTTCGTCGTTGTCGTCAGGTTTGGGTTCTATCTTTTGTCATTATACAAAGTTTCGCTTAACTAAATTCTTTTTATAAGAAAATTCGCATTTTCAATGCCACTTATATAAAAGAAAATTAAAATTAGAAATGCATTACATTTCACAATAAGCATAATCAAACAAAAATAAAATAAAAAAGATGGTAAATACAAGAATACATTGACGAAGTTATTGTTATATAAGAAAAGATCGTAACCGATTTTCTCAACCAAAATCAGTGGACCTTTTTGGCAAAGAATAGTATATAACTGATCTCTTCTCCTCCCGCCACATAAATCAGTTGGCCTTTCTTCGCCTTACTTATATACAAATTTTATGTCTAGTATTTGTAAATTCCATCAAAATAATTGTCAATAATATACTTACTTTTTCATTCAAATATTTCGCATAAAGGTCTGAAAGTAGCATGATTAGTATTAGTAAACATGAACAAAAATAAACAACACTGGTACCCGCAGATCTACAGAAATTAACCAATCATATGAATGTTTATTGATCATGTGAGAAGTTTTATTTTTTAAATCCGCTAAATTTATTGACTTAACTAAGTCGATTTTTCTAATCTAATTGGTCAATGTTGATCACATGACCGTATGTCCACTAATTTCAATCACCGTCCGATTGACTCATAAACTATTTAAAAAAATAACTTATAAATTCAAAAGTTGCATTTTGATATTGATTAAACAAATATTTTATAAAAAAAAAATAAAAACTTTAAAATTAAAATAATGAATGCCACATAAATATTTCATAAGTATATTATAATTACTTTTTAGGCAATGTTGTTTCTTTAACTGTGCTATTGTTCAACACATTCTTACTTAAGAGATACTTTTTTTTACTCAATTCTACCTCTTTCGAATGAAGATAACTCAAAGAGCTGAATTGTTCTTTCTTTCATCTTATTTATTCGTGAGCTTATATTTTCGCAGCATTTTTGATTAAACAGTCGTAGCTAAAATCATCAAGAAAAATATTCGAATGATTTTATTTTTATTTCATTTACATTGATCTTTAAATTTATCTAACACAGTTTGTAATGTTGGCCTAATATTTTGACAGTTTGAACTAAAAATAATATGATGCCAGTAATATCGTTCTCATCCATTTTCTTAATTCCGTTTTATAAGTTTTTTTTTAAAAAATATATCCAAATTTGTATAACCTGCGAGGCATTTGAAGGACCTTTCATACTAAATTTTTTTTATTTTTTTTATAAACTTTATTAAAAAAATTGGTTCTCTTTTACAGTAAATCTTATTAGAAGTCGATAGGTTATTTAAACATTTTACTCATGTTAGAAAAAAAAAAGGTAATTTATAAAATCGCAAACAAATTAATTAATAATCAAATACGATCAAATCGTTTTTTACATATTCAACTTTAGTAATTAAATAGCGATAGCTTTTACATCATGATTTAAGGCATAATCTGAAATCAGTGGTTAAACCTGTCACAGATTACGGACACGCAGTATGTGGCGCAGCAAAAATTCTTTACGTACTATAGCTGCAGATCCTCGATTTTGATTGGCTAACGGGCGTGGATCTGCAAAATTTCGGCCCACATTACATAACTGTTTACTAATTTCTGGCCGGAATTAAGTTTTTTAACTTTTTACTCTCAAAATAGAAATTTTCAAAGAAATAAACCCACAAAATGGTAAAATTAGTCCAGAAATAATTTTCATTTAATGACGCTATGATTTCATTAGTAAAATTTCGAATAATTCCAGCCAAATTTTTTTATCATCGCTCTTAGCCAATAAATCGTGAATCTGCCGGGTACCCTTATGCAAGCGAAAATCGAATCCTTCCGGTCAAATATTTGGGTTGGAGTATCTCAAGTATTCTATCTATATTTGATGTGAAAGAGTAATTACTATATGTAAATTTTAATGCTAAACATTTTTAATTAGAAGTCGAAAGTTGGTTAGCATAATAAAATTTGGCTCTATTTAAGAATTTTATTTTTTTTGCTGTTTTTGCTGTTTGGTTTGTTACACAATATCTTATATGATTTTATTGGTGCCGGACCAGAAATTTTAAGGTCGGAGATCGATTTTCGCTTGACATAACGATAAGGGTACCTAATCTGTCAGGACAATTTTGTTGTGTTATGTTTTCACCAGTTTTGCTAGGGTTCGCTAGTTTCGCCAGGTTTCGCCAATTAGCCAGTTTCGCCATTTCACCTTTTTGATTTTTTTTTGGCGAAAGTCGAAACTATGTTTCGCCTAACAACTGTAGTTTATCACATTAACTTATCCAATTAAATTTAGAATATACGATAAATTGTGATAAACCCGAATTATTTAAACCGGTCCTACCTCTATACTGAAGTGCTTTGTATATGCTACAACAGTATTTAGCACGAATCAAAAACATTAAAGTATGGTGCACTTATTAAATTTAAAGGTATTCTTAAATTAAATCGTTGCAATCTTTATTATTTATATAGTTTTTTACTACATTAAAAGAAAAGAAAATTCTTACACAAAAGTCAAACAATAATTTTAGCTCAAAGAAAAAGTAATAATAGTTATAAGAAATATACTAGAGTAAAACTTAATTTTGTTAAAATTATTACGTAAATATATAATCATTTAAAAAATTTTATAAAAATTATTAAATTACATTATGAGTTTTACCCAGTTTTAATACTATGAAAATTTTTATAATTATGATCAGTAATTATCAGTTCATTTGCCCTATAAATAAGAAATAAGGAATACAAGCAAAAAGAGAGTAGGCTTCACTTAAATTAAACCAAATTCACTAATAAAGGAATTTAAGTACGCATTATAAGGATCACCAAAAAAATATTGATCCTCATCTTGCATTTTGTGGTCTACTGGAGCTTGCTGCTTCTTTGAACGAGAATTTTTTTTTTATCACTTCTCAGATAGTAAGGCCTAAAAATTTTATTAGATTTGGGCTTCCTTCTTTTTCTATAGGGACGATGATTTGGAAATCTTGAATTCATTTCTTTTTTTACATTATCGGCAAGTTCTTTAAATGGAGTTCGGTCAATTTCAGTCATTTCCCTCCAATATTTTTTTACTAGATCTCCAACCATGTGCACACGTTCCTTGCCTGGGATGTTAAAGGCTAGACATATATCACGATAAAGGCCGGATTCTGTCATTTTTTTGTGAAAATCCTTTTTAAATATCATCCAACAATTCAGTTGTTTAAGCACATGACCGTCTTTCATTTTTAGATTGATGTACAAGTCGGGATTAGTCGAATCACATTGCTCCAGAACAGGTTTCTTGACTTCTTCTTCGATCCTGGGACCAAAGAACTCGAGAACTTTGTTGACGCATGGACGCTTAATCATATTAATACTTAAGACAAATTACCAAAATTTAGTTGATATTTTTATTGAATTTCTGAATCAGACAAATCCCAAAATCTGGTTAATATCTTTACTAATGAATTTTGATAATTTAACATTTGGCCTTTTTATAAATTTTTATGAAGAATGTCGGTGAAATAACCCCGTACATCTTATAATGAAATAGCTCATGATTTATGAAATTTAATGCAAGTTATCCTGCGAGAACCTTGACATTTCTATTTAAGATTGGATAATGAAACATATTTAATGATTTAGTTTTAAGAATTCTTTTTTGTTTAGAAAAACTATAATGCACATGGCTTGAAATTCATTGTTGAATTATACAAATTTTACCTATAAAGCATACCAAGATTACATCAATGGATTTTTTATTTTATTTTTTATTGATATTTTTTTTACATGTTTGATAACAATTGGATGATTATTTGATAAGGTTTTTAAATCAGTAAATCGGAAAAATAAGAACCATCAAAATTTAGCAGTTAGATAACGCAAATAAACATTTCAAAATAAGTATTGTTTAATATAATAAAATGAGCATCATTTCCGTGTATGTGATGGCGTAAATAAGACTTTTCGGAATAAGACCCCGAATATAATGCATGCGGTACGAAACTAGCATTTGAATTATCTGGTAAAGCATTATTTTTACAAATAAAAAGGAAAAATTTGAGTCCAAGTTTCTAGAATTCTTGAAAAAATTCATTTAGTGACTCATGCAATGAGCCAAATGATCGATGTCAACTATTTATGGTAACATAATGAAAATTGTTCAAATGCCTTATGTGTTCTAAATAATGTATAAGGTTTATGTTCTGCACTATATTCTTTCCTTGAATATAAATCAGTATATTGTTGTGCTTATTTTATTTTATCATTCTTTTATCTAGTTATCACTCTTGTTTATGATGATGGCTAGGTGTTTCTGAAGGTCTGATTGGCGTAACGGTAGAATGGAATGATCATTTAAAAACAGAATATAATTCTACTTATAAGACTGCCTTTAAGCAGATCATTTATACCTTATTTAGATGGTTTTTTTTTGGTCGTTTAAAGAATTTGCACCACCCTGTACTAAGAAAAAAAAGTAATGTTAAATTGGATTAAATATAATATAAGTAGACAAAATATAAAATAAAAGGATAAAGTATAGTACAGATAGGCAAATATAATTTTTATTAAACATAATATATGAAAAATTAACTAATTTAGACTATTTTAAATTATTTATAAATAAATTAAAAGCCAAATTTTAAACTATATATTTATATAGTTAAATTTTTTGGGTGATATATTTTAATGGAATTTTACAGAACTTAAATAAATATTCAAGAAATTTCCAAGGTGATACGGAATTTATCGTGAAAATTCTTTGTCAATTCTTTATTAATCTCCACATGTAATATGGGATTATTAAATATCGTTGAATTAATGTTACTAATTATACGTCATTCTAACTTTAATCTTGGGTGTTAAATTTGATTGATCAAAGTTACGTATGGTACAACTTTTTTTGGTGTAAAAACAATGACCAAGAAAAGGCTTCATGCTTTAATATTTTAAAGTGTTTGTTTAGTTTTGCGATATTGCGTATTTATAGTATCTTTAGACTAACATCTTAACATTTAAAAAGGAAAACAAGACTTTAAGATTAGAATTTACTGGACTCAAAACATGAAATTTTAGTAGGCGAAGTATCGATAGCAATATGGTAATTAAATTTAATTACATGAAGTTCTCATATTAAACATCTGTGATTTAATCATATCGACATGATTTAGATCTATGTCTTATAACGTCCGTCATGCTAAAGGCAAAAATCCCACTATACATAATTTTAAAACACTATAATATCGATATACAATTATACAATTTAAAGTAATACTAAATATATAAAAACTTATTTGGGAGCCATGCCAAATCCCGATGCTCACATTAGCAAAATTTTGAGATAGTACAAAACCCTGACAAGTACAGTTTAAATTCACGACAGTACAAAGTTTATAAAATTTAAAGTGCCAAGGTGCAAACATCAGAGTTATTAGTCAGTATTTTGAATTTTCAGGATTTTAAATTGTCAAGATTTTGTATTTGCCAGGATTTAGTATTTTCAGTCAGGATTATGTGCATCAAGATTGTGGGCCCGGGATTTTGTACCAAACCAAGTCTGATGGAAGTCTGGGAAACCTAAACCTTAATACGCAAATATTGTTCAATCACGAAAAATAATACTACTGGTAAATATGAGTATATAAGTGCTTTTGTTTATCCTCACTCCTTCGCATAACTTTTTGTGCATTTTTCCACAATTTACCTTGCATTACAAATAAATTATACAATATTTATCTTGTGTTTCCAACAACCTGATTTAACAATACGTAGCCTCATAAGTAATCATCATCTTTAAATGACTGCTAAAAATGACCCAAATTAGGGATCCCATTCAACCATTACACCAAATACGTAACGATTTTCCAATAAAATGATTCGTTATACCAGGAACGGAATTTGTATAACGTACAACGTATGTATGGTTTACAGGCAAGTTAATGTGTCTGTGCGATTCTCAGCACTTGATTGGTCCGCGTGACTCTGTTCATCACATAATGTTATGCGTTGCCTATTTTTCGCATGCCATTTCA